AAAAGAAAATATTAAGATTTAAATTTAAAGCAAAATTTTAGATCAACGATTAATAATTGAATAATAACTGAGCGTAAAAATTGTGCAATTGAAAATCAGTAAATAATTGTTCTTACAATATGTATCAATCAGCAGAATCAACAAAAATACATCTGTTCATAAACAACAGATTCAAAAACTTCAAATATAGCATATTGGTTCTTCAATAGATTACAAATTTAACTGGTCAACTGTTGATGTGTTAACACTGTTGGAAAGCAGAATAATAACGTTTAGGTGAAAAAGAATATACGTACATTTAAATAGAATCAAACCATCATCCAAGTAGAGTTTGACTTTTGAACAATTCAGTTATTTTTCTTCTTCTCTTTTACTGATTAATGTTTGATTAATGTTTGGATACAAAAGTTGTAAGTTGTTCATAATTTATTTCACTGATTCTTCAGGTTACCTCCCAAAAAAAAAAAAAAAACTCGGATTTACTATACTTTTTATCTTATTGAACACTGAAACTTCAATAGACTAAAAAAGCAATCTTTGAAGAGCCAATTTTGATATAGTCTAGTAAAAGAATTAAATTTTATGATCTGAATGATTGGAAGACAGTAGAAGAATTGCTGTTTATAAATCTTTTTTTTTTTTTTTTACTTTTTTTCAGCCCCTTCCGCTTTTCGTTGCTCGCCGCAGTTCAGCCTGCGAACACAGAACAGCAACAGCAAAAAATAAATAACTAATTAAATGAATAAAACAAAATAAAATAAAAAATAAAAATAAAAATGTTAGCCAGAAGAGTTTGCCATAAAGAAAACTACAAAATTAGTCTATTTTTCTTCTGTCTCTTAGACTCAATAACAGTAAAAAAAAACAATCCCCACTTAGTGCTTCAAAAAATTAAAGAAAGAAAAACAACATAAGTTGTAACATCAAAAAAAAAAAACGATTTATAACAAAAAAAAATCAAGTAAAAATGTTACAATTTTTATTACCATAAAATGACAAATAAATGGGAGTAATAAAGTTACGAAAACCTAAAAAAATAAGACAGAAAAAAAGACAATCTTTGCCGATATTACAGTTTCTTCTTTTGATTTATTTCTCAAAATTTTCATTGACTTCGTAGTAAAACCAAATAAAAAAAAAAAAAGAACAGAACCTATTTGCGGACAATTTACAATTTTGTTTATTCATTTTTAAAAAATCAAAGAGAACAAAAAAAAAAAAAAGACCTCATTTATTAAGATTATGAATAAAGGTTTTTTCTTTCAAAAAAAAAATTATGATTTGATAGCATTTGCTGTAACAGTTTTAAAGTAAGAAGAGAATATTTGTTGTAAAAGACAAAATTAGTGTTTATTCAATGAATTTCTGTTTAAAATAATACTAATTAACATCTTTATCAAAATTATTGTCAAAAAAGCAGCAGCTTTCTACACAATAATTCATCTAATCACTTTACCACACCTAATGATCTTTTATTGATGTTTATCAATGAAAGAGTGTTTTGTTTTTTTTTTTTTTTTTTTTTTTTTTTTTTTT